ATGATACACTTTAATGTAAACATGACATACAATGTATAGGTGCAAATAATTTATAATGAAATTCAAAATAGATTTATATAATTTTGTATAATTAGAAATATAAACTTATGTACTGCTTTATATATTAAATAATTTATAGACTAGAATCAAGAGGCTTGGTTGTCACACTACAAGGAACTGGATTCATATTCCTTCATCCTCGGTTCATTGTGCCCTTGATGAAAGATTTCAGTCACGATACAGGCAGCAGTGTCACTGAGTGCCACAGCCTGCATGGCTGAAGGGTCCCCAGAGTGAGAATCAGGGAGGTTAATAAAAAAACCAAAGAAAAAGAGAAACGAAGCTGGGGACAGGTGGGGCTGTTCCTTCTGATGCGAGAAAAAGACCACCAGGCAACTGTAGTGCATTTATTCATAGTGGTAAAGATAAGGGAAGTGCAGGGGGAGCTAAAAAAGACTGGTCTGTAACCAGAGGCAGGAGAGTAGCTAAGGTCTGCAGAACATCTTGCTTTTACGGTTTTATGGGGAATGGATGAGAAGGAAGACATGTCTCTTCTTGGCCAGGCCTTGCTGTGCCATACCCTCTTTTCATGGGGCCCTGCCTCATCAGTGGGAGGAGGCAGGTTAGGCCTGGCCATAGTGATCTACAGTGCAGTGCTCCCAGTATGTCTCCCTGTTGTTTTGTAGTTGCAGCTTGTGATGATGTTGTCTCAAGGCAAGTTTCGTGAGTTGTCCTAGGAAGACTGCAGATGACTAGTAAACAAATCATTAGTAGCAACAGAAAAATCAGAATTCCCAGGATCATAGTAATGCTATGCTTGGCCAGATTTAAAGGATTGAATACATTTAACGTATCAAGAACTGATGCTGCCACATCCTCAGGGGTGAGAACTAACACGAGCATGTTGAATGGACAAGATCTGTTGATGAAGCTTTTGGAGTTCTAGGCTGAAATTGGTATGAAGAAAGACACCCATTAAATGTACAGCAACTTTTTCCCATTCCCATTGTGACTCATAGTAAGGAAGAGCAGTGACACAAATGGGAGAGTATTCAGCAGGGCACTGCAATCCTTGACAGTATTGTAGGGCTTTAATTTGATTACCAATCTCTAGCTTCTAAGGCATTAACTTGCATTAACATCAACATCTTCCTGGGTCTTAAGGATATAAGATGTATTTTTTGCTAAATGATTGACAAATTGTGTATTCTATACATTTTGTGCTAAGGCTATGGAGGCAACCACAGTGGTGGTAAGCAGAGTAACTAGAGACATAATTCCTAGGATAATAAGTCCTTCCATCCAACAGGGGTGAATGAGCTGTCCGTGTATTTCTTCCAGTACTTGCAGTCCGTAGCCATGATACCAAAGGCCAGAAACGTTAGTGGGTAACATGACAAAGGATGGCCTATATAATATTAGCACATCTTTATCCTTATTAATGTTAGTAAGGCAGGCAGTGAGATTACAATTTTTGCAACTGACCTTAAGAGTCTTCTTCTGCAGTAAAATTGAGCTGTCCAAATAGGAGAATATAAGGATTTTGCACACAGGTGCGTACCCAGATCTTATTGGCCCTGTGTGACTCTTTTCCTTTAAGCTATGATTACAGAGTGGTCACTTATAAACTGGCAGCCAATCAGCAAAGATCTTTTTGGAATTATATAGATGATATATGTAGTACCAATGCTGGAAGGTGACCAATAACATTGTACTTTATATGAGACCAATCCTGGAAAGTTATGTTTTGTATAACTGTTTCACTTACTTCATGGGTGAAACAGTCTTCCCAAGGAGCATACTTTGAGAGAAAAACATAACAAGTGACATTATGGCAAGAGCAGAGGGGGCATGAACAGTTATGAGGATTATCTGTTGAGGTAAGATTGAAGCTATTAGCACCAACTCATCTCTACCTGTGCCTGATGCATTACAGACAATGACTGTGTTTTCAATTACTGAAAGTGAGAGACAAAGGGAAGATGGGCTGAGACAGGAGGCCCTCTGTTCTTCTGGTGTGATTGTAGGTAGTAGATGTAGGAAAGATATGAGCACACCAAGGAATCAGACTGATTGGTAAAATAGATACTGAAGTAAGAGTTTCCCAAGGAAAGGGATGAGCCAAAGGCGGGCCTGAGTTTGTCCTCTGTAGGAAGACAAGCATACTCTGGCTCCTATGTTATTAACTGCATTGAGCCATATTACCCTTTAGTTAGGACATCCTTTGACAACATTTGTGTCTAGGACATGTCTGGAGATTTTAGTATCAATGGAGTTTTGATGGAGGACATTTACTCTCCATGAATGGATTTAAAATTTTTTAAGTAGGCTGGGGATTTAGCTCAGCGGTTTGGTGGCCTACCTTGCAAGCACAAGGACCCGAGTTCAATCTCCGGTACCAAAAAAAAAATTTTTTAAGTGACAGCAACTAGAGAAGGTAACAAAATCTAACTGAGCTTTTAGAGGTACTGGTACTCCCCCTTTCTTGTTTATGTAAGTGTGTTTTTATGGAAAAGTGAGCACACCCAACAATGGCTTTTCTCTATTTGTTATAAGGACCTATAACTAGTTTAGTTGTCTATAATAACCTCTTTTGAAAAGGCTATCCCCAACTGCAGTTAGGGGAGAAAGGACACAGGTTTTATCTAACTGCTTTGAGCTGAAAAGGGTCAATGTAGGGAAGACCAAAGTTAGGGACCCCTTCCAGGGAGCTAATTAAATAAAAAACATGTGGTAATATAGTAATTATGAAGTCTCTTTATAAGGTCAATCTGGTTGATTTTGGTAAAGCAAAATGTCTAGCACACTTGTGTTGATATTATCTGTGTGATCACTTTCAGTTTGGCAGCCTATTGGCAAGAATATACAAAATTTTTAAAGAAATTAGACCGTGCAGAGGCTGGGGATTTAGCTCAGTGGTTCTGCTGCCAGCTTCACAAGTGGAAGGACCTGAGTTTGATCCCCAGTACTAAGAAAAAATAAATTATAGCATGTATAGTCAAGGTATAAGCACTAAAATAAAAAGGTGATTTTGGCAAAGAAGTGCCTAGAAACTGTTTTTTGGAGACTAAAATAGTGAATGTAATTTGTCAACCTGTAGACTCTCCACTAATGGAGATTTTCTTTTTTTCTTTTTTTCTTTTT